ATAGTGGCGCGCGTGCACACGCGCTCGCACGACACACACACACACACACACACACGCACACATACACACACACACACACACACACACACACACACACACACACACAGGAACATCTATAGTCCCTATAGACAGAGCTCGGTAATAAATAAATCCTTAACATGATATATCAGTGAGATTTTAATTTATTTCAGACGTCCTTTCATCACGACATATAACATGAAAGCGTGACCAGCGTACCGCGGATATATATATGAAGTTTTAGGGTATGTATAACCACAATGTAAATTGCTATTATTAAGTTCCTCTGTCTGCTACCATAAACATCCAAACATCATACAAGTGCCAAGCACCTAGTATCAGTAAGTAAATGTGAAGCTCAACTGAGCCTGCACAGCTGTTTACTCTTCATAGATCACATACAAAACATCTCCCGCGCCATCTCACAGCCATGCACATTATATGTAGCACCCGTTGGAACACGTAATTAAGCAGCACACTGCATGAACGGCTTCATCATAACAGGAACTAATAATACCTTTAACATATCACCTACAAGAGCTATATAATAAGGTAATAATAACTCTTGATTAAAACCAGCCCTATAGACAGTGTCAGAAGTGAATAAAATCAATGTTTTTATTCATTCCAGGTACTGCTATAAACCAATTTGACCATTATAACGATTGCCACCTAATTCATACGCGCCTGAATTATTTATTCATTTCTGAATTGATATGCAATTTTAAACTTTAACTAAAGTATAGCTAGATTTTATTATGATATAAGCTGCATAACAATTAAATGTGTAACATTGTATATACGATCACATATATCACATATCACTTTATATGAATGTAAGTTGTGACATTTGCGTAATAAAACATAATCAACCCTTTGCAATAGCAAAATTTAAAACCATGATAATAGTGTCACTGACCCAAAATGTATAACAAATATTCACCCGGGTATATGCGTTAAATATATATTTTGTAAATATAAAATTTGCTCCAACCGTAACAATCCTGACTGTTGTGTCGATAAAAATCAGACAGAATGCTTTTTGGTTGAAAATCCAAATAGCATACGAACTGATTTCTTTATGACACTGGATCTTTTTCCTGCCCCCCCAGCACCCGCACGAAGATTATCACAAGACATGGACCACAAGACTCCATATGGCAGAAAGCAAAGAAAAAACAATATTACAATTTGCACGACTACGGTTTGCCTTTCTGCAGTTACTGGTCATATTTGAGATCATGGCATATAGCCATATAGTAAGAGTATTTTGATATTCGACAGTATTGCACTAATAACATTAAAGTAACAAAGAGCGATGTGCGCAAGCCATTCGAAGCTTATTCCAGCAGGTACATAATGTCTATACAAGATGACAGAAACGTCTATTCTATAAAAAAGTGCATAACAGTTGACACTATATAATTTGTTACTATACTGGAAATTTATATCATATGTGTATTGTAAATCATATCATATATCATGTATATATCATATATATATATCATCATATATATATCATATATCATCATATATATATCATATATGTATTGTGTATCATATCATATTGTAAATTATATATATTACGTATGTGGAATTGGTAAACTGGAAGCTATTGTGGAATTAGTGGTAGAGCGTCTGTTGTGAGTATCATTTTCACATTAATACCCCTATTATGTGATGACACAAGGAATGAGGTAGCTGTTTACTCTACCGCCACCTGGTGGATCGTATCAGGGACCAGCCCATGATGCATCACGTCATCCTTCACGTAAGCCCAGGCCATGAAATCAGTCGTAAAGTGCAGGCCAACGTTTCCCTTGTTGTCGAGAACAATGGCTCCACCGGCACCCTCCGTGCGTCTGTACATATAGTCAAGAGCTAACTCGGTAGCATCCTGAGCTGACATGCCTATTAAAGAAAATGAAGTTCAGTATTTTTATTCATCATGTATTTAAGGAAAGAGTGTGTAACCATTACCACTCACAAACTACATGCCTATTAAAGAAAATGAAGTTCAGTAAATTTTTATGTGTGTATTTAAGGAAGGGGTGTGTCCCTAATACCACGCACAACCTGACATGCCTATAAAGCAAATTGAAATGCAGTATTTTTATTCACCATGTTCATGTTCCGTGTGCTTGTTGGCACTTACAACCTAGCACGCTGGCCTGCTGAGTAGTAAGATATGGGTTCCCTCTCATTTTGAGCATACTATAACATTAATAGCTGATATGAAATTCACACACTCTTTGTAAAAACTTGATCAAGTTAGATCAAAGGTTTTGGAGTGGTGTAGTTCTAGAGTTCTAGGTTCTTAGAGCAGTGCAATCCAGATTTCGGCTTTCATACTACTGAGTTGAATCTATATAGGAAGTCAATAGATATATAGAACACAAGATGCTTGTGTTCTATATCTTTGCTTATTTAGACCTTTGACCCAGATATTGACTGACATCTGATGATGTCAGTAAGAAGAATTAGAGCTGATCAAATATGGTATTAGGTGATATCAGTCAATATAGCTGCCGATTACCAGGTAATGCTGCTGCATTTTACAATGCCTTGTCACACGGACCCAGGAGAGTGTGTAATTTCTTGGGCAGAAATCAAACCAATTTCATTACACGAGACCTTACGGCTAGGCATTGCTTTGAGTTATTGTCTGATCTATAGCAAAGGGCTTCGACTGTTTACACAGTAGTATATGCAGGTATATAATTACCGGTTTCCATATACATGATGATGCGGCTTGCAAGGTGAACTTTCATGATGCTCTCACCGTGTCCGGTGCATGACACCCCTCCTGTGTCACTGTCTCCATAACATCCTAACCCTACAGAGTCAAACAGATTCTGGAGTTTAAGTAGCCAGAAACTTCAAAGCATGGAAGGGTATTTGTCTGCCAAGCAGACAGCGGAACAAACTTTGAGAAGTGAATAAAATCAGGTTGTCACATAACCAAAATTACTTGATCATGCAGCCCTCATCAATTGATCAATAAACTAAAAAATCCATTGGTATTATTTTAGATGAAAATGACTAAATAATAAAGACTGCTACACAGTTTTGTTTAAAGATGGATTCCCACATAAATTTTTGTGACAAACCACTGTAAAAACGTAAGTAAATAACTCACTACACTTTATCTGAATGTTAGCTTTGAAAATAAAACTGTAAAAATATGTATCAAGCCTATATTCCCTCAACGAAAAAACAACTCGCAAAACGCGTTTCGCCGCGGTTCTGTATCATGGCGGCAAGAGTCGACGCAGGTCACGTTACCAGCACAGCTATATAGATGTCATATATTATAACACATGTGTTATATGATATCTATGAGCACGTGCAGCCTTCATAACCTTCAGTGCTTAGCAACACCGCATGGCAACAACGTGTCTAAACATCGCCGCAGTGCAGCAAATGTAACCGCTGTTTGAAACATTCGACCCGACACTTTCACTTTGTAGTCTAAAAGCTTCGAATGAACGTATTCCTGAGCTTCTTTTTTTTTTTTACCTATCACACATATATATAGGCAAGTACAAACGTCCAATGTTAAAATAATTCATTTTTGCCTGATTTTATGTTTGCCGCATGAAAGTTCGAGGGAAGCTACTTTCAAGCTTGCAAATAATTATTCAAATACATTCTTGGCTGTTCTTCGATAGCCAAATGAAGTCAAAATTTCAGAAATAACTTCAAATACGTATATAGGAAACATATAACATACTGAGAAATTTAGGAACAAATAGATAGGCAGGAAACCCAGGTAAGGCATACTCTTCTCACCAGCCACCAAATGTGATTACCTATCAAGGGACTGTCTCCCACACGGCCCACCATCTTGGCAGTAATTCCACCAGTAGATGTAGCAGCAGCAACGTTGCCATGGGGATCCACAGCTACAGCACCTACAGTATCGTGCTCGCCCTGAGCATGCTTCTTGTGCTTATTGATATTTCTAAAATATGAAATATAATTATAGGAATTCACATCGGAACTTGTTGGGAGAATGCATCAATGAAATACATAGTGGCTAAACGAAATCTACGCCTACACCGCAAACATATACGAGCACGCACACACGCACGTACGCATGCACTCGCACGCGCACGCACACGCATGCACGCACAGACTCGCACGCACACACGCACGCACGCACAGACTCGCACGCACAGTCACACACGCACGCCCGCACAGACTCGCACGCACACACGCACGTACGCATGCACTCGCACGCGCACGCACACGCACAGTCACACACGCACGCACGCACGCACGTACGCATGCACTCGCACGCGCACGCACACGCACGCACACGCACGCACACGCACGCACACACGCACGCACGCACGCACACGCACGCACGCACGCATGCACCCAATACTACAACCACAAGCAATCAATCTCACAAACAATTCCCAAAACATATTAAAGTCGTAGAAATTTGGTCACGTAAAAAGGAACTCACGTTGCTTTGAAGGCATGACCAACTCGATCATCGTAGTTTCCTTCACAAAATTTCAGCTTATTCGTGGATAATTCACTGACAAGTTCCTCTGTTGGAACAACGGGTATGCCAATTTTTTCAGCAAACTCATTCGCTCCCTCGCCGACCAACAGGCAGTGATGTGTCTGCAATCAAACAACGTACACAGGTCAATTAAGGAAAAACCACATCAGCAGGCAATATATATATATATATATATAATTTTAAGAGGTACATGCAGAGCTGGTACATGGGTTATATAGGTATAGATGTTTCCTCATCTTCCTTTGCTCTTAGCGCAGCTTTAATACTCCTCTATGTTGTACTCTTGTATATTTATACTGAAATATCTCTTATCTGCTTATAAATTGTGGGTGAACATTATGTAGCCTATTGTGTAGGTTACACAATTTACTTTAAATACCTGGCTGAAATATTTGCTGTCTGTTTCCCATTTAATTCATATTATACATCACCTGTGACAAATTGCCGATCAATGCCAAAAGCAACAACATATTTCAACAACAGCATTTATATTGAAACTCTCCCTGCGTTCTCCTGTATAACCAGCAAGCAGAGATAAATATGCTAGAAGTTTTACAGCTCCTGCTGTGCTTCTGTAGTTATTGATCAGGGCTAGGGCTCTGTGAAGTATTGATTGCAAACACAAAGTAGTCTACACACCCATAGCTGCTGTGTCAGTATATGAGGTTGACATAGCTAGGGTGGCTTCATATATATGTGCATGCCATTGAGAAGCAGTGCAAGAGTGTAATGTCCTGAGGTAGAATGTCCTACAGTAACGCATATTTAGTAGAAACACACTTCCACGTACATTATACCCGCGCGCGTAGGAAAACTAGTGACTCACTGTACCACCTAGATCAATACTGGCTAGATATATTATATATATGAGCAATCTACCAAGTAGGCTACGGCTAGGCTTTGTTCATTATACTTTTTAAGTTAAATAGTAGAGTGATTGACTAGCCACGAATACAATTCTTGGAAGATGGATCAGCTTGAGTCAGGAATACAGTACGTAGAAACAATATGCTGGTATAAACAAGGTTAATTGAGTCAGTCACAAACATGTATCACTATCACTTATTCTCTCCACTAACACCCCAATGAATGATGATAAATTCAATGCAATTACAAGAACATACATTTTCCATGACTTTCCTGGCAAGGGTAACTGGATTCTTAATGTTTTGAACGCATGCCACAGCACCAGAGTTGAGTGTTGTTCCATCCATAATCGCAGCATCCATCTCGATCTTACCAGCATCATTTAGGACAGACCCTGTGCCTACATTGAAAAGGTTTGTAATCAAACGGCTAGCATGAATCAAAATCACCATATATATATATATCAAGACTCTAAAAACGCATGAAATGTAATCCCAGCAGTTTAGAGTTATTCTTCTGGATATTAGCAGATCTCGGTGTAAACTATCTTATCATGTCCCATGCACTGCTAATAGCTGTATTGCTCAAAAATGAAACATAGGTTAGCTGCATAACGATATATGTACAGTCCGACCTCCTTTATTCGGCCAAGTCGATCGGGACCGGCACCCATACGGATATGGGATTTGACCGGATATGAGATTTATGCTCAAACACAGTATTTCTATGCAGTTCAGTAGGGTTTATGCATGTGATCACACACGTACGGTTGGTACATCGCGCGAGTTTTGAGCGAGATTTTTAGGTGGAAATGAATGAAAAACAGATAACATACACTGCGAGATCGCGGCCGGAAATTACCGGATAACAGATGTCCGGATAAAGAAGGTCGGACTGTACCTGCATCGAAGATGGGGTCATCTTCAAGGGCACGGACAGCTGCTTCCACAGCATCCATGGAATTTTCAGTCTCCTTTAGTCTTGCCCAGCCAGCGATGGCAGCTTGCTTTGCACCCTCTGCTCGTGCATCGCATTGGCCTGTTCCACCACTCCACGCTCCACCGTGTACGATCACAACTGGGGCTACAGACATGCCTGCGTAGTGACATTAATCATCGATTAATCGTGCATTAATCGCGTATATATTAATAGAATTATTATTATTATGTGCAACTAGGTGCTAGTATTGTGCCTTGCTTGATCATTCATTGGCGTACGTATGAATTAATATATTGCACTGTCTGTATCTAAGAACATCGTGCATTGAGCATCTGACTAAAGCAAAGGTAAAGGAAAAAGAAAGCAATCATACACACCTTTCCGTGAATTATGGATCAATGGACTCAACTCTGGGCCTAGTAGTAGTACTGCAGCCGACTGAAACGATCGACGCTCGCTTCTCCTTCACGTAGCTCGCGTTCTTAGTTACTGTCGTTCTCGACAAATGAAACGGGCGTTGCCACTATCTCCAACGCATGCGCGACATTATGCACGACTTTATTAGCTGAAAAGCTATTTTATTGCGGCTTGGCTGGTCAGTTCATGACGCACTGTTTTTATTTCACCTAATTACAGTGAATTTATTATGTTTAATCGGTATTGCTGGTTTATCATAGAGAGTTGATGAATCCTATCGTGCATGGCAACTTTAGATTTTATATCGAGTTTAATTCGATATTGGTATATTGCCAGGGGCGTAAATCCCGGGGGGGGGGATGCATCCCCCCGCTCTTGAAGGAGGGGGATGGCCTGTACAAATATCCACCCTAAGATTCAAAAAAAAGAAAAAAAAAAAGGAAGAAGAAGAAGAAGAAAAAAGAAAGAAATGTGATTGTTTCAATTTCAGCATAATGCATGAGAAATGAGTTTTTTTAAATGTATGTATAACTGTATAGCCTACACGTATACAGTATGTCACGATCATCTAGAGTACAGGGTCTCCAACCCTGTGAACTCCAAATGCGGGATGAAATTGATGGACGGGGGGGCGAAATTAACCTTGGCTGCCGCAGGCAGGTCCGCGTGCCGTATATGTAGGCATGCCATTGCTAGGGAGGTCAAAATTTTGAAATATTTAAGCCATTTTCCTGCCATCTGAGGCATACTGTGGGCCATATTCTCATGTCTGATGACACTATCTCAACCCTAGACTCAACCCTACAAGTTATGATTCAAAACACCTTTCATGACTTTTCAGAGAGCGTACACACAGTTAGGTTACTATAGTAATAATACATGTATTAAAACACAGGGAAGAATTGAAATTTCTCACAATTTCACGTGTTTTTGTATGTTTGCAACTATACTTTTTGGCTAATTGTGAGTCTGGAAACATTTTCTTGAAGAGTTCATTTGCATGGTCTGCCGCCCTCAAAGGCACATTGTGTTCAATTAAATAATCCGTAAATCTCACTTCTGCGTCAAGACAGACAATTCTCTATCTGCTGCAAAGAAGCTTGATATATTTGGTGTAGAATCCACTGCACCCGCATATCACTTATGCTTTTGAGAGACTATATGCCTCTGGCAGTCACTCCTTCCTCCGTGCCCAACTTGAAAGTCTGTCTTGCATACCATATTACCATGCAATAGCCATGATTAACACTGAGTTTTTACTTCACAAGTACAGGCCACATCTGTGTATATTCGTTCCTGAATTTCTGTAAAAGTCGGGTTTTTTGGATGGCAATGGCAATGTGGACGCCATTTTCCCCACGTGTTAATCTGATTAGCAGACAAACTACGCAACACCTTGCAGACAGCGCCTGTCTGACTAGGCTGTTCCATTTACCGTAGACATGCCAGATACAAAATGCATAGAAACAC